CTTCGGGTACCACTGAAGCCGGGCTGCCCAGAGCCACGTGCCAGCAGCCCTGGAGGCGCGAGGATTCCTGCCCGCTGCCCCTCTGCCGAGGAGATGGGGTGGCTGGCGTGGAGGCTTGGTGCTGAAAAACCTCTGGAGGGGAGGAGAGGGGGGGTCGGTGAGGATGGGGGTGCTCCCAGTGACACTCCAGGGAAGATGAGGTGTCACTTGCATCCTCGGGGTGAGCTTTACAAACACTTCACATCCCATGCAGATGCTTCTTCCCCTGGGTTCACAGAGCCTGGCGCATCCTCGAGCATCACCTCTGCGATGCTCCGTGCCCAGTGACAATCGCCCGCCCTGGGCGCTGGGGTGGGGGGACCCCGAACCACCCCCTGCCAAAATGAAACCACGCCGGGGAAAAAAGTGAGAGAAACCTTTATTTGAACCAGGTTTTCTCTGAACGAGGTGCTGCTTGGGATTACTCGCAGAGACACCTGGGGGTACACAAGCAGAGCGAAGCAGCAAGCGGAATGCACTCGTCCCCTTTGCTGCGGCCAGTTTTGGGGGGCTCAGCCCCTGCCGGAGGAAGGGTGTCTGCAGGGAGGCACCGAGGGTGGTCAGCAGAAAGGGGGGGTTCCGTGGGGGCTTTGAGCTGCAAGGAAAGCAGAGCAGGACCCCAGCGGGTCAGGAGCCCGGGGGGCTCTGGGGACAATGTGGAGGACATCATCCTCGTGCCGAGGGGTGACGGGGGCTCTGGGGGCATCCCCCCCGCGCTGAGGGGTGACGGGGGCTCCAGGCAGAGGTGGGGGAACGCTCTGCCCATGGAGCAGGGCTAGGTGGGTCCGAGGTAGGTGTGCTGGTCCTGCTGGTAGTTGAAGAGTTTGGTCATGACGATGGTGCCGCTGGCGAGGAGGGCGATGATGAGGATGACGAAGAAGATGTTGAGCAGCAGGGCGGTGATGTTCAGGTACTTGGCGGTGGAGCCGTAGCTCAGCGCCCCGCTGTAGTCACCCAGCACTTTGCGGTCCCTGGACTGGG